AGAAACATAAATAAGACTTCATAAGTGTTTTAACAGCAGAAAGAAACTTGTGATTAGATCTCTAATGTCTTTCTGTATGCCATTGACTCTAATGTGTTGTATAAATAAATGTTTTGCTCGGAATATAATTTGTGATTAAAACACCATCGAAAATATACACATTATTTCCAGTGTTATATACAACAAAAATATCACAATCACATTCACAGCACACATACCGTATACACAGTTAGATCATGTATGACAACAGGTATTAACACAAACATTACATTGCATTAAACTCCTATTACCTTGAAGTTAGGGTAAAATAAATAAAAAATTGATTTTTACATAAAAATATATATATAAAAGTAAAATATAATATTTTGACTTTTGTTTGCATATTATTATTGTAAAACACATTGAAATTGACGATCAAATTGAGTTATAAAACGAGTTTATTTTTAACCCATAGAACAGCGGAAAATCTATGCAAACCATAGTTTATTTGAATACATGAAAAAAGCTATAATTAATTACTCGTTTTACTGCCAAAAAATTACAACTAATTTGGTTACAAAAATATGTCCATTAAATATGACTTTTTCATCGCTAATTCATTTCCTATAGACTCCATAATTAACTATTGGTTTGTCATTTAGACTTTTAAAAAGCGGTTTTTTCCCAAAACAAATGTCAAATCAATGTTACCTTAATTTTTAAAATTCATTTTTTGTGTCATTGATTTGATTTATAGTTTAGAGAATCGCTTTTTTCTTCGCTTACAGTAAACTCTCTTTAAGTGTTGTTTGTCTGTAATTCTTGTCATGTATTTAATGATAAAAATTATGTGAGATGTGAGGTATCAATGAAATTCATAATATCAGTAATCAGTTCTGAACTTTGTTCCTCTCTCTCTCTCTCTCTCTCCCTCTCTCTCTCTCTCTCTCGCAATATGTTTATGGTATAAATTATTGATATGAAAAGTTGCGATAAATTGAGAAAAATATTGTTCAGACGATTATACGATATTCACTCCATTTCACAATAACTAGTCGTCAGAAACCACTATTTAATATATTTATATATTGATACGATTAAACGATTAAGTCTTTCACATAACAAACTGCACAATGTTTTGTGAAAACTTTATCCCAATTAATCGTTAATTTCAGTATTAATAATTAACAAATGGTTACTAAATACTCAAACATTTAAATATTCTGTTTTAAAGCCTATTTATAGTTCTCGTTTTAATAACATTTTACTAATTCTGTGTATTTTAAACAAAACAAAAAGTTTTTCTGATATAAATTTCTTTCTAATATCCAACCAATCGATAGAATGATTAAAAAGATCGGAAAGTTTGCAATGAATTGGTGTTTGGATTGCATTCATCTGATAATAAAAATGAATAAATAAAATCTGTGGAGGTTTCGCATAATGTTAAACACAATTCAATGGCTTTTACTCATGAAAATCGGAATAAAAGTCGTTTATTTGACTCTTTTCTTCAGCCAATGCTTTGCGCGAAATCTTTCACAAGACATACCGCACGAGTCGTTGACCACAGAATTGTTCACATCATTCATATCGACTCTAAGGCCAAATGTGCCCGAAGTGAACATCAGACGACACGACCCGACCTACCATTCCTCCAATCAAACCATCAAAATCGGGTATTTAACTAATATTCACGGCCGACAGAATGTCCAGAGACAGGGTATTGTCATATCCGGTGCCATCACTTACGCCATCAACAAAATCAACACAGACTCGTCGCTACTGAATGGCCGTAAGCTGGAATTGGTGTTTAACGACACCAACGGCACGACCATCGATGGGACGGCTGCCATACTGTCCCAATGGCGTCAGGGAGTGGTGGCCTTCTTCGGCCCGGAGGACTCGTGCGAAGTGGAGGCCACCATCGCAGCCGCCCTTCAGTTGCCTATGATTTCGTACAAATGCGCCGATTCTAAGGTCTCCCGCAAAGACATATACTCGACGTTCGCCCGCACCCACCCTCCCGATACACAAATCGTGCGGTCAGTCATAGCGTTGCTCTCATACTATCACTGGACTAAGTTCTCCATCATTTGGGAAAATACTCCGCAATACAAGACTGTGTTCAAGAGTCTGACACAACAGGCGATGGCACAGGACTTTGTCATCAACAGTGATAGGAGTTATGAGAATTACTACGACTGCTGTATAGCACTCCTTCCCTGTTGTAGGTCAGCCTTCCTCGACATCGTCGAAGAGACCTACAGAGGGACCAGAGTTTACGTGTTTTTGGGCAAATCATATGATTTGCATCGAATGATGTTAGTGTTGAGAATGAGAGGGCTGTTCGAAAAGGGCGAGTATATTGTCATATACCCTGATCTCGAGGAAGAGTACATCGAATCGCAGTCTTATAAATACATAAACACGAGGTTGGATCTCCCGGAAGACGAGAAACGGGCCCTCAATGAGGCGGCGCAGTCCCTACTGGTGATAGTCCCGAGTCCTCCCAACGGAACCGATTACTCGGACTTCGAGAAAAGAGTGCACGAATTCAACGCTAAGCCGCCCTTTCGGTTCAAAGAGATAGCCTTTGGAAACATCAAACTCAAGCGACACATCACTATCTATGCCTCATATCTATACGACTCAGTTATGTTGTATTGCGAAGCGTTGTCTCAAGTCTTGAAGGAAGGCCTCACAGAATACAACGGAAATGCAATCATTCGCCGCATTATTGAGAAGAAGCGTTATCTGAGTGTAAGAGGGAATTGGATGAACATCGATGAGAACGGCGACGTTGAGGGCAACTACACGGTGTTGACGCGAAAGCCCACTCCGGACGACCTGCAGATTAAAGGAGTGAACGGCTCTCAGAGGCCGGCATTCGTCATGTGGCCAGTCGGCAATTTTGAATACGAGGAGCATATGAACAGAACTGTTTTGAAAATCGATGGCGACATCAAATGGGTGAACAATAATCCACCACTTGTTGAGCCTCCCTGTGGTTTCGATGGCAGCCTTTGTCTGGATTTGGTGGACAATCGTAGAGAAGTGATCGCTGGTGTACTGATGGGTATTTTGGTGACTGTGGCCATCATAACGGCAGTCACTTATAGGAACTGGAAGTATGAACAGGAGATCGCCGGTCTTCTCTGGAAAATCAATTTGAATGAATTGATGATAGATTCTGGGGCTCATCCCTTGGGTGCCAGTCAGATGAGTATTGCAAGCCAGACATCAGTAGAATCCCGGTTCCATAATAACCAGGTATTCACTCAGAGAGCTATATATAGGGGAGCCTTCGTTGCCGTCAAACATCTGAAACCTAATCGAAGAAGTTTTGATATTTCGAGGAATATTAAGAAAGAGATGAAACTCATGAAAGAGTTAAACCACGACAATATCAACCAATTCATTGGCGCCAATATTGAACCAAATTCTGTGTTAATTGTCACCGAATACTGTGGCAAAGGAAGTCTGTACGACATCCTCGAGAACGAAGACATTAAGATTCCCGAATCATTTCAGACATCATTTGTCTTTGAACTCATCTCCGGTATGACATTCCTTCACGAGTCGGATATCAAATTTCACGGAAACCTCAAGTCATCTAATTGTGTGGTCACCAGTCGATGGGTTCTGCAGATCACTGATTTTGGTCTTCACGAGTTGAGAGCCAACTCGGAGATTGACTTCAATGTGGGAGACCTATACAGAAGCCAATTGTGGAAATCGCCGGAACTGTTGAGGAATTGTATGATTAGAGGCAACCAAAAGAGTGATGTCTATGCGTTCGCCATTATATTGCATGAGATAATGGCCAGAGAGGGCCCATTCGGGCTCAATGAATACTATGAACATCTGACCAGTGAACAAATTGTGCAAATGGTTAAGGAGTACGATAGGGATGAGCCGTTCCGGCCAGACATCTGTTTAGTTCAGTGTCAGGACTTTGTTATACAAACAATGCAGGAGTGTTGGAGCGAAAAGGCCGATCAGAGGCCCGACTTTCGCACCGTTCGCTCGAAACTTAAGAAACTACGACAGGGCAGCAAACATCATAATATAGTGGACGGTATGATCGTTAAGCTCGAGACGTACGCCAATAACTTAGAGGAATTGGTTGACGAGAGAACGGGTCAACTCAGGGATGAGAAGCTTAAGACGGAAGCCCTATTGCATCGAATGCTTCCCCAGTCAGTGGCCGCACAGCTTATGCGCGGCGAACCCGTCAGACCCGAGGCTTTCGACGCCGTCACCATATTTTTCAGTGATATTGTAGGCTTTACCCACATGTCTGCCACCAGTACTCCTATGGAGGGTATGTATGGCTCCTCGAAATACTGCGATAATAAATGTGCTAAACATTCATAATGTCTCTCATAATCTAGTCGTGAATTTTCTCAACGATTTGTATACACTCTTCGATTCAATTATATGTCATTACGATGTCTATAAAGTAGAGACTATAGGCGACGCATATATGGTGGTCAGTGGTCTGCCTGAGAGGATTGGCGACCGACACGCCAAAGAGATAGCATCCATGGCTCTGGAAATGTTGGAATCGGTGAAGACGTTTAAGATCAGACACCGACCCGAAGATAAATTGCAACTCCGTATTGGCATACATACGGGTATGTTATCTATTAATAGATTAATTTTCTAAGATATTAATACCAATTTCGTATACAATGGACACACTTCTAATTAATGTATAAATAATATTTCATTTTCTATTTAATAAATTATTTATAACTTATATATCGATTCATAGCATTGGATATTAGTATTATTATTATAATAATAGATATTTTTATCAGACTGTGGCAAAATAAATATAAAATTAATTCCTAACTATGCTATAATTGATTAGTTTTTGTGATCCTAATATTAATTTTTGATTAAACCATAACTACTAATACCCTAAACATTATGTCTGCTCGTTGTTCAATTCAATTAAAATCTACTTTTTCAATAAATAAAGATTATTATGAAGTCTATATTATATTCCGCATCAATAAGGATTAGTAGAGTACTGTATTTATTATTAAGAATATCAAACAAAAACACTATGTTTTTCATATCAAACTCTAGTATTCAATGATTTCTCTCACAAACTCTATAAGAATTCTTCAGATTTGTATTTGAAGTGAAGATTTTTGTTTGCATATACCGCATGCATATTGTATGAAACTTTTTGTGTCTCAAGTATTTCATCAAATATTAAACGCATTCTTGAAAATATTTATCAAAAGATTGGATTGCATTTTGAATAATACAATAAAAATGTTTGGAGAAAAATATTTGTAATATAAACCATAACTACTATCTACTCATGAATACAATACAATGTGTATAATAATAGATATATCGTTTGACAACATCTTTGAGAGTTTGACTCAACAAATGATGAATTCTTTGATGCGAAAAGATCTTACAAAATAAAAATCAGATCCGTTGTCAGTCTAATATTAGTCTAACTGCTACTAAGCCTGGTTTAAATATAAAACACATACTCCAGTCACAAAATACTAATTATATTTATATTTCAATGTTACTTGAAGTTTAACATAATTATAGATATCATTTATAGCTTGGTATTCGCATTGTGTTCGTGTTATATTTAGTTAGATCTGATCAGTGCATATATTTTGACAAAAATCCCAATTACTACTGTATAACATAGCTTTTAGTTTTGGATTAAGAGTTGTTTTAACAATAACTTTGTTAAAATCATTAACGCCTGTCTGTGAATGTATAAATCATATACAGTATGGTTTTAATTATAAGTATATTGTAAATACTCAGTATGTTTGAAAAAATATATGCAAAATTAAACTAAACTTCAAACTCAAATCAATCAAAATTAGGGTCTTTTTGACATAAAACAACAAATTATAAAGCAGTGAACAGTATTGAAACTTTAAGTTACTGTTTAAATAGACAGAACTATTTATTATATATAAAATTAAAAATATTTACAAAACAATGAGCAAAACAAATTCAAAATATTTTTTATATATGAATGACTTTTGAGAATTAGTTTAGCTATGAATACAATTAAATTGAAGGTAAAATGCAAGGATAGGTATGAGTGTTTTGTTGAGGGCCGGGGTATTGAATAACACAAACAACACATTCTTTTGAGGATATAATAGATATGAAGAATAGTTGCAAATATTAAACACATAATTCTCTCGTATTCTTGACATTAAAAAATGCTTTTCAATACTACAAGACATCTTAATATTCATATTTCAATAAAAAAACATATTGAAAGCCATAAATATTTTATTATTTTTATGTTATTAATGAAATAAAATTCTTGTTTCTAAGAGATATTTTCAGAATAAAATTATTATCATTTTTTACAGAATTATTCAATTATTTATTATTCAATAGATTTATAAGAGAAACGTTTCTCTTATCTTAATGTATAATTCAATTTAGAATTAAAAGCTTTTTTAATGAAATTGTAGAAAAATTGTATACATGTATATTCTGTGTCGGTGTTTGAGTAGTGAACAAAATATTGGTTCACGTATTGATGAAAACAACACAAAAATCTTTTGCACTTATAATGACATTCAGATCATTGATTGAATGAAAAGATTCACTAAAAAACTCGTTTATCATTCATAGCGACAACGAGCAGACAATTTTTGCTTACTTTCAGTGTTTAATATAAAAATTCTAAAAATATAATTTTAAGAATGTATAAAATGTTAAGCAATTTATGTGTCTTTTGTGTAGGAATTGAGAACTGATAGAAATCAATATAATACTTGTATATCCAGTATATAACAGTAAATCAACAGTTTATATCAAAATTTTTGCTGAAAAGGAGTTTATTTATTTGGTAGACATAGAGTGAGTGGGAGAGTGAGAGTGAAATGAATTGAAAATTGAAAACCACTATCTTTTGAATATACAGTAATGCAAAAATAATTTTTTATTTATTTTGCTCTATATATAAGCGACAGATAATTGAAAAATCAAATATACACGCAAAATTTCATGCTAATATCAAAACAGATATTCAGTAGGTTTTCATGTTTAGCATATTCATTGAATAATAAACATGAAATGCAAAAAATATTATTGAATTCAATGATTCACTTCATGTGATGACAAGAAACAAAAACAAAGAATATTCACAATATTATTATTGCTGCAAATGAACCGAAAAAAGTATGCAAAACAAAATCCTTGAGTTATTTAATCATTCAATAACTTGTGTGAAGTATTACTTGAAGTACAAAAATGAATTATAAATATGAGTTTTAATAATTTAAAAAAAAAACTCATGTATTAACAAATAATCTGACAAATAGTAGTCGTCTATATTCACTGATTTAACCATTGATTGACTCAAAGTCTTAATCGTTGAATAAAAGACAAAATGTAATCCTATGTCACATGTTTGAGGCAGACTTAATGTCTAATAAAAAACATTGCATTTGGTATTTACTTATTCTTTAATCTTAGATTAGTTTAAAATAAATTAATTTAAAGGCTAATGAAAAAACAACTCAATTCACATGAAATTAAATCAAAAATGAGGACAAAGACACGGTTTATAATAAATTATCGTTATTTTCGAGCAATAAATTCATATTATTGTCACTCTAAAGTTTATTAATCTTAATAAACATCTAAATATAAATTATTACATAACGCATTCAATGATTAAATTAATGTTTAAATTTTTAAATTTACTTTTTCTGTTAATTTAGGGCCAGTAGTAACCGGAGTTGTGGGTCGGACAATGCCTAGATATTGTCTTTTTGGTATGTGCTTGTTATATTAAATATAGTTTATATTATAAATTTATTTATACCTATATTACTATAAGAAAATATAGAATAATGAATAAATAATCAACGATTTGCACATAAAATATTATGAAGAATTATCATAGTATGAACAAAATCTATCAAACAATAAGTAAATTCTAATAGGTGTATAGAATATAAATGTCCATTTAATATAAGTATCTGTAAGATTTTATTTACCATTTATTATCAGGAATAGAATTCTTAAAGAACAGGAGAGAGAGAGAGAGAGAGAGAGAGAGAGAGAGAGACTTAGCACATAAACAGAATGGTTTAGACCACCTGTTGTTAGGAATGTAATAATAGCACAAATACTACTTAACTACTTATAAAATCATTAGAAGAACCGTTATTTTAAGAGAATTAATAGCAAAACAATTAGGAATTGAGACAAATAACTGTTTTCTGTTGTGCTTTCAGGTGATACCGTTAATACCGCCTCGAGAATGGAAAGTAATGGTCAGTACATGATATTAATTATATAAAATAGCACTTTATATACAAAAATAAAATAAATAAATTTAATGTCATGTTCAAACAAATAACACAATGAAATGCATTAACAGCTCTAATCAAACATGAAATGAAAAAACAAAATCAAAAGTGATTTCAATGTTTTCTTATCTATAATTTTAGGCGAAGCCTTGAGAATTCATATAAGCCCTCAATGTAGAGATTATTTGGTCAAAATTGGTGGTTATCTGATCGAGGAAAGGGGTTTAGTGCCGATGAAGGGCAAGGGTCAGGTGAGGACGTATTGGCTGCTATCGCATACGGAGGGTCCGATGCATAGGCGCGAGTCAGCACCGGACGATTTGCTCAAAGTGCCAAACTTTATATACTCATCCAATGATAATAAAAAGCGGAACGCTATGGGAGGCGCCGGTGGCGGCGGGTTTCTGCCGCGAAAGGGATCACTCATAGGCTTCAAAGGCGGCTCCAATCTTCATCTCTCGACCACACGTTTGCCAGCCTTTCATCGGCTAAAAGGACTCGACTCTAACGGTTCCCTCCGAACCGCCAACAGTCCGAAGCAAA